GGGGGGTGCAGGTAAACATACGAATCGTGACTGAAGTCTCTCCATTTTTAAATTTGCCCAGGGTTGCCGAGCCTGGCTTCATGCCCAGCCTGTCGCAAATGCCCTCGACGAGCTTGGGATGCGAAGTGCCGCCAAAGACGATTGCACCCCTCATGGTGGGCGGTCCGAGGAGGGTGATGTTTTGGTAGTGGGCAAAGTGAGGTAAAGGCTGCTGAGGCCGGGCAAAATTGTTCGACATGCTAGCTGAGGTATCGGGCCTTGGGGGAGGGGAGGGGGTTAGGCTGCCCCACTATCGCTCGGCGCCTGACTCGCGACCACAGTGGCACACACACATACACACACACACACATACACAGCGACGCGCGATGTGGCTGATGTCTGGAGCACGGCTTGACAGATGCTTTTGCTCTCGAGGAGGCGAAAAGATGCGATGCAGAGGCGACAGGTTGTTGCGCATCTTTATGCACATGTCTGCGGAATGCAGGCGTCTTACGACTGTTGCTGCGCTGGCACGCGACCATATCAAGGCCCTCTCTGGCCACTCAGGCTTCTTATGTAGGCCACGATGCGCCTCTGTACCTGCAGAGGCTCCTGTGGTCTCCTGAGCGCCCGCCTGCAAATGTCTTGCTACATGTATCGCTCCTACCGCATCGTTTCTACAGTATCGCTGCCCTCGGCGGCAGTACATAGACACGTGAGGGTTGTTGGTGGTTACACGAGCTCACCGCTTGCTCCGTACGCCCATGGACTGGATGTTGAGCGTTGCCCAGACTCTACTATAGGCACCCACAATGGAAACCGCCCGATTGGTGGCGGTGACGAGAGAGAGAGAGAGAGAGAGAGAGAGAGAGAGAGAGAGAGAGAGGGCGTCTCCACCAGCCCTACACCTATACTTGGACGTACATGGCCAAGCAATTGGGAGACGTGTGGCAGCTAGCCGCGCGAATCCCAAGGTAGCAGCGAGGGTGGGTGCAACGCCAACGCTCCATGGACGCTTGTTTTGATAGCAAGCCCCATTCCTTTTGGGCGCGAGTGGCCTGGAGGATGTGCGTGGTTGATGGCATGTCGACAAGTGTCTTGGAGGAAGACATGGCAGGGTACGAGTTGGTGTGGTGATGAATACGCCGTGTGCATCACGCGAGGTACTATCGAGAGTGTTTAGCTTGCATTGACGAGGCCAAAGAGGATGAGAGGGAGTCGGCGGTGAGCTGGTGCTACGGGCGCGGGTACCTGGCATGCCATGTCGAGTGCAAAGAGGGCCCAGCTGCTTGCCCAAGTCGTCAGTCGACTATGCCAGTAGGGAGCAATGGGCAGGGCTTGGCTCGCTGGTGCGACGATTGAATGGGCCCAAAAGAGAAGACATGGCGCCCCACCAGGGCGGCGGGCAGATCATGGCAATCATGGGCAGTGTGTGGCCATGGACGAACGGTGAGATGGTCTGGATGAGGCTGGGGAGAAACAGCCCGATTGGCTGGCGGGGGGGCTGCAAGCGGAGCGGACACTAGTATGGGCCGCTGGCTGTGCGTGGCGAGCTATGGCAAAGTGACGGAAAACGGCGTGCACGACAGCAGAGCAGAGGGCTTCCATGGCCCAGTGCGACCGAGTGTGCGGCCCAGTGCCGTTTCCAAGGACCCGGTCTGGGGTCGCAAGGCAGCTGGAGGGCGGATGGGACGTGGTACGAGCGAGTTGCTTGCTTGCGGCCAGGTGGGCTGGCTGGCTGGCCATGGAGCGTGTGCGTGTGCGTGT